ACGACCTTTCATTCTCCAACAGAAAATACTACACTATCCACATACATATGGCATCTAAAAAGACAGAAATATTAAACACCAAGAATAAGCTGTTGGAAAATACTGAAAAACGCACCTGCCTACAACAAAATTAAAAAAAATATAAAAAAAAAATAGTATGTGAATAGATAGTGTCTAATTACTCATACCCTACAAAAGAATTTATCTAAACAAAATCAGAAATACAGTGGTTGGACAAAATAATTCCAAAAAAAAAAAAAAAAGAACCTGTTATTTTAAGAACTTTAATTAAAACTTCGCAATTGCACGTTATATCTATTATAAATATGTTTATTTATCTAATTTACTGTCTTTGTCTTATTTATTTTTAGAATTTAGTAAAATTTAAATATAAATGCGTGAAATTCCTAGTTAGGAAAAAGGCCAAATTTTGGAGCTTTCATGGCAGTATTCGATCACTAAGGTTGCTGAACTGTTTGGTTTTTCAAAGCTACCATATCAAAGGAACTATGACGCAATTCGAGAAACAGGGCAAAACCTCTAGCAACTGTAGCAATTCGGGCCGGAAATACAAAACTTAGAAAAAAAGAAACATTACCGATTTGCATTGAAATGCAATAAAACCATCAAAAAAATCATCGGACTATTGCGGCCAAAGTGACTGCTGAGTTGAATAATCATCTGAATAGTCCAGTTTCTACTAAAACTGTTCGTCATGGCCTCCATAAGGCTGAATATCACGGAAGAGTCAAATAATAAAAACCCTTCAATATAGTAACAACTCGCAACATTCAGAAGAGGTTAAGTGGTGCAGAAATCAAAATGCCTGGTCTGCAGACCAATGGAACAAAGTCATATTCTCAGACGAGTCAAGTTTTTCTTTTCCCAACTTCAGGGCGAGTTTATTGTGGAGGCAGCCCAAAAAAAGAAAACAACCCTTCTTCTAACAGTGAAGCAAAAGGTGGATCAGTGTTATTTTGGATTTAAAAAAACTAAAATATTATATCATGAAAATGTCTCGGTCCAAAAGTTGCCCTGCATACAAAAATCAACAGAAAAGATTACTTGAACATTTTGGGAGATCATGTTCATCCACTGACCCAGACTTTATTCCCTGATTGTGACTGCATCTTCCAAGACGATAATGCTCCAATACATACCGCTTGAGTGGTTAAGAATTGGTATGAAGAGCAAAAAAAAAAAAAATAGAACACATGGATAAACCCCCAATGACCTCCAGATATCAATATTATTGAACATTTGTGGTGCATTTTGGAGCGACAAGTTTGGATAATAAGAATCCTCCACCGTCGACACCATCTTAAAGAGCTGGAGCTACAATTAATGGAAGAATGGTTAAAATTCCTATTGGATGAAGTCAGGAAGCTGTATGATTCCATTCCTAAAGGAGGACCTACTCCATATTAAATAAATTTTCTTTGAATTTAACAAGTTTTCAATTGTTTTGTTCAACAAAAAGATATTACTAAATATAAGATTCTAATTTCTAAATGCAGACATGAAAACAAATACCTATTATCACAAGTTAACAGCATTAAACGGATAAACAAAAAAAATACCAACCAACACTATTTAAAAAACCAAAATTGACCCAATAGAACATGAAAAGAGAAACCACTGACACCATAACACCACCAATTATTTTCTAGTTCAAGCTACCATCATAATAATTATAATTATTGTTATTATCATTCCACCGCCATTACTACGATCACTTCTACCACTTTACAATAACTATTTGCTGCTACAATTATGTATCATCATCACCACATGCCCCACCATCACACCCAATTACCATTACCGCATTAATCCACAATTACTACGGCACCACATATTACCATTACTTTATCTCAGGCACATTTGTGTTTCTTCAACACCCACTGAGTCTATCTGTGATTTATACAGAAACTATAGAGCAGACCTTAGTTATAGCTTCTAGGAGAGAGAAAATCCAATTTGTAATGATCAGCAGTTTGAATAAAGGCCAGCACACTCAAATACTCAGTCATAAGGACTTGAAATTTCTTGCTAGCACAATCATCAACAAACAATTCCATCTACCAAATTTCCCACACAAGACTCCTGTCAACACATGGTGTGGCTTTCAGGCCCTTTTCAACAGTACTGCTCTCTGTGATCATTAATACCAGGCTGATAACATCAGGAAGTCACTTTTCTGACCCTGGTGAGATTCAAACCTGGATCTCATGGTCAGACAGCAAATGTTCTGTTCACTCAGCCATACACCCCACAAGTATATACTCACTTATCATGCAACTTTTAAAGACCTAATTTTAAAGCTAATTTGACTATAGTAAATGGATATATAGTTTGGTCAATGGCGTAGCCAAGGTCAGTAGTACATGTGCTAATTTTATATCTTGTGTATGATGCAACACCCTTAAAATTAGCTTCAAAATTAGGTCTTCAAAAGCTGTATGGTATCTGAGTATATACAGTATAGATACATTGTAGAAAGTTACTTGTGTCTATATATGCAGTCATGGCTGCCCCAAATAAAAACGGAGATTTAATTGCAACAATATTTACAATTTTATTCTCCATTAACTAAAAGGAGCTAACACTGTCAATAATTTGTGTGTGTGTGTGTATATATAATAATGGAAATTTTTGTTAATCCAGCAATAACATTTATTACTACAAACATTATTTTAGGGGTTATGGGCAGACATGTTTGAGCAGACATCCACGTTTATTTACAGACAGTGAAATTTACGTCAGCTGGTCTAGATCAGGGTCTGCAACCTTCTGTTCACAATATGCTGATTTAGGGTTTTAAAATTGTTCAGTGTGCTAACAGCATATGTATTTTTATACAAATCAACGTCAATATACCTGTTCTACAATATATTTTATGTAGTAATATATACAAGGATATGTAAACCACTTTAATAGAAAAAAACGTTTTTAAAAGTATTTTTTTTTTTAAGTCTTTATTATTTATGGGAGTCCAACGAATGAGCAGTTTTGAAACTGCTAAATATCTTCTTTGCGTTGTAGTAGCTATTGGTATGGACTTTGTGATGTCATTAGCAGCTGTGTGCCATTGCTTGGCGTGCTACATGTGGTATGCATACAGTAAGTGGCCAAACCATGGTCTAGATCATTAAAAGAAAAAAAAAAAAAAATGCTCTTCTAGGCAGGAATTGAACGTGCAATTCCATTTTTACTGGAAAACCCCTTTAGCTAGGTGGTGCCATTATTGTGTCGACTCTGGAGAAGTTAAGACAGTAAACATTAAATTTCCCACTTGTAAATAAACAGGGATATTCACCCACTAAAATAACATTTATAGTGATAAGAAATAGTCACATTGAAAAAAAGTCCATTGTTTAAATGGACTTCATTTACAGTATTGGTATAAAAATATAAATTGGCAGACATAGACACTGAAAAGTCCCAATGAAAGATATACAGCAATTATTTTTTGTATTTCTTTGTCTTCCCTCATCTGATTTATGTCTGAAAAAAAAAAGAAAAAGAAAAAAAGAAAAGAAAAAAAAAGAAAAAAAAAAGAAAAAAAAAAAAAAAAAAAAAAAAAAAAAAAAAAAAAAGAAAAAAAAAAAAAAAAAAAAAAAAAAAAAAAAAAAAAAAAAAAAAAAAAAAAAAAAAAAAAAAAAAAAAAAAAAAAAAAAAAAAAAAAAAAAAAAAAAAAAAAAAAAAAAAAAAAAAAAAAAAAAAAAAAAAAAAAAAAAAAAAAAAAAAAAAAAAAAAAAAAAAAAAAAAAGAAAATTATTTCATCTGAAGAACTATTTGAATGCTAATGACCCTTCTCAAAACTATAGAAAATACCAAAATATTTGTTTTCCGAAACGATGCTTGTACCTTGTCTTTCCGAAACGATACTCGTACCTTATCTAGGAATGTGACCCAGTTATTCCCCATCCCCTTATACATGTTCATTGCATACCTCCTTTGAACATTTTTATTTCAGTAGCATATGTTGAAATACACTTATAATACTTAAAATCCTGTATCACCAACGAAAATTTCCAATCATCCACCATTATTTTGTTCAGTTGCTTATTGCTCACCCAACAGTTGAAATCACCCACTGGTGGGCAATATTGTCCAGGTTGGGAAACCTTGCTCTAAGGTATAGACAAAATGATTACTTCGAAATAAATTGGAGATATTTTAAAGCTAGTTGAATGATATCCAGACAATTACAAATCAGTCCATAGTGAATATTTCATTGCTGTCAAATAATCAAGTTTCTTTCTTTTAAGTCTTTAATGTTCTGATGTATAGTCAAGAACTTTGAGAAACAGTCTTCTTCTTCCACAGGTTAAACATTACCTGATTGAATCAAATCAACTGAATAGGGAAGAAAGACTTCGTCTTTATTTTTACCAGAAGAAAGATTCTTCAAACAAAATAAATTTGATCTTATCAGATAGAATAGGGCAAATTAGAGCTGTTTATTTTAGCTCAAGGACATTTTTATAGAGCATCAAATGAGCAATAAAAACACAGAGGACTAAAATATTACTCAAAGATTTTCAACATGCTGATTAGATTTAAAAAATATGGACAAAATTTTTTATTGTTTACCGATTGGTATTTACCAAGGTTAATGTCTGGTATAAGACCATTAGTATTGAATACAGAGTGAACATATAACTATGCTAGGTAAGCTTTTCCTACTGTAGAGTACACATAGTTATACAGTGAATTCAATTTAGTTTGGCACAAGACAATTCAGTGATGATTAATTTCAATACAGTAGTAATGGTCTTCAAGATTACCTCGAGGACTACTCTGGCATAACAGAGCCCGATTCCAATAGTGGGAGTGCCCAATGAGAATTGAATCCCTTTTAACAGTAATGGTTTGTCTGAGCAGCAGGCTAACCATTGTTTCACAGGTTGTCAACCATGATTGGCTTGCTGATGGATATTGACTGTGTTGTATTAGATAAAAAAAAGAAGGAAAATGATGCACAGACGCTGACTTACCAATGTGAAAAGACAAAGGCCAGTACCAACATCCCACATTTTAATAGTTTTGTCTCGGGATCCCGAAAGAAGGAAGGGACCATTTCTGCCACCTTTTTTGGGCTGGAAAAAACAGAAAAAGAACTTTTCATACATCACCTGAGAGAATGAGGAGAGAAAGAAGAAGAAGAAGAAAAAATCAGAACCAGGCTATTTAGAGTCAAATGCAAATATAAAAGAACCAAGGTGAAAAGATTTTTATTTGAAGCATAATTTTAATATTTTAATCATTTCACTTCTGCTGCTTTTACCTTGACATTCTGGCCAAGAGACGTTCTTCAACCTTACAAGATGCAACACATGTCTGAGAAACACTGAAGAATATCTGGAGTCAAAATACTGTGCTAAAAACAATGAAGGTGACAGTTCAAAAATTATCTACAATAATGAAATAATTTTATTTTGGTTGTTGGGAAAACAAGTAGTGCATTTGTTCAAAGAGAAAGCCAATTAGGAATCAATAAGTAGTGTAGTATGTAATTCAGGCCAGGAAATAGCAATCTAAACTGAATTTAATGCATATAAAGAGCCTTTTGTTCTAAGAGATGATCTGAAATGACCATAATATATAATGGGTTTACACCAGATGATATCCAAATAGACTTTACATTCAATGTTGCATCAGAGAAATCAGGTACAGCAGCAAGTCGACTTGGAAGGTGACCTCCTAGCACCCAGGTGCAGATTTGCACCTCCATTGGATGTCAACACTTGTCTGTGGCATGTAAACAGGTGCTTGATCCAGCTGTGCTTAGGATGTGTACACATGGGACAAATCAGATAAGTATGTGTGCTCCATTTGAGAGAGAAGACATCTTACATCCTTCTAAGTAGACTCCATGTTTGGAGAAAACCCTGAAAAACACACCCCCACAGTTTTATGTATAAGATTTAGTTTTGTTATTCTGTACAATAACATTGCACCATAGCAACAATTCTACTTACGCTGTTTCCAAGGGCGTCATTGATGCTAGGATGGGCAGACTCTGGGGCCCATGCAATGCATTCTACAACATGTTCATGTTCCCTCAGTTCAGCTTTGCATTCGGCAGTGGCCACAACCCAAACACGTACAGTCTGCAGAAAAAAACAAAATACACTCTTATCCTAATAAGAAGAAGGCATTGTGGGGTGGGGGAGAAAAGAGATATAACAACAACAATCAACAACAAATTTTTCTAATATTGGGAACACAGTTACATAAGCTAACCTTCAACCTCTCTTCCAGCCAAGACATCTGATGAGTTAACCAAATTTTGGCAAGTAACAACTTTTCTCTTTTAATAATTCAGTCTGCCTACTCCAATAGCAGAGAGCATTAGGCTGTAACAAATATTTACTTAGAAGTCATTTTTTTGATAAAATTATCAGGGATTTTTTTTTCCTCTTCCTTTCTGGTTGGCCTTCTAATATTGGTAGGTAATTATCAAGTTTCTTCTTATCAAAAAGAGTTACCTCCCCTGATACAAGGTAAGAGTTTTTTTTGTTTTTTTTTTAATTCCAATGAGGAATAAAATTATTAGTCTTAATAATTTCAATTCAAAATAAATAATTTATAAAACGAAGAAAGGGAAGAATGAAATTTGAAATCCTGACAATTGAGGTACATATTGTCTCTTTCTCTCTCTCTCTCACACACACACACAGTTATTCATGATGTTAAATTTTATTTATATTCAATGTTTTTTTCCATTATCAACACTTCAGGTCAAGAAACTTTTCATTATTATTTTAATATGCCGTCTTATTGTTGCATTTTATTCCAATATAGGGTTGTAAATTCTTTGAACATTAAAGACAGCATAAAATGAGAAATCTTCCGGTAAATTCTACTGGAAATGCACTTCCCATGATCCTAAGCTCTCCAAAGTCATACAGAATTTCAAAATAGAGTTACACCATAAGAAACACTGCAGTAATTTTTATTAATTTTTGACTTATATTCTTTCAACTTATTTTTGTTGCTTTTTTATCCTAAATCAGTTAAGTCATAATAAATCTCAGGCAAGATTTGAACATTCATCCAACTCCCCTGGCCCAGAGAAAGCCACAAGATTAGTCTTTATTTCAAATCTGTGCTGCTTTTACTAAAATCCACAGATTGGCAGGTTGAAATGTCATAATAAAAAGCAACAGAAATAACAATTAACAAAAGGTTTTACATTTAAGGAATTTAAATACAATGACTGCAGTAATTTTAGGAATGTAGAAGAAATGGAAGAATGTAAAACATGAATGTTACTTGATCATTGGAGCAACTGGCCAACAGGGAGCCATCTGGGCAGACTCGCACCATGCGGACCCATTCCCTGTGTCCAGAAAAGGTTTTCACACAATATCTGCAAAGAGGAAATATTAGACAAGGAATTATAAGGAGGTACAAAAAAATTTGAATGTGATATATATATATATATATATATATATATATATATAAGGGGAAGAGGTTATAGTAGTTCCAACGAGAGAAGTGTGTGTATTAAAAAGAAGAGCAAAACCACAAACGTTTTTGGTTGTAATATGGATGTTTTTTCAAAAATATTATGCTTTATTTTTCCATAATTTTGCTACACAAGTTTCTGGTCTTGTGACCATCATCAGGCAAAGGGTGGAGATTTTCACATATTATTAAAAATAATTAATTTTTTTCTTCTTTATGTTTTTCGAGGTTAAATATTCTCAATATGAGACATCATCTTTTGTTTGTGTAGCAAAATTATAGAAAATAAAGCATGATATTTTTAAAAAAAAACATTCACATTACAACCAAAAACGTTTGCGGTTTCTCTCTTCTTTTTAATATATATATGCATGCATACATACACACACACACACTTGTGTAACATGCAATCTTGCATATTGTGCAATCCCCAAACTTTCACTTATAAAAAAATGATTTTATCATCTATCTCATGTACCATGCATGTTCCTTTTTTGAGAGACCAATTTACAATAGACTAACCTCTTTTAAAAATATTGTTAGTAACGCTATACTCATTGCATAAATGAATACAGCCATAAACAACCAAACAAGAAACGGCTAAACATCTTATAAACATAAACAATGGAAAAGATGCATATTCACAAGGTTTGTATTTTATAATACAAATCTAATATGTGAATATTACATGCATTATTATTGGATACAGTTAAGTAAAATGTAAGTTTTATCAAAATCATGTTTATTTTAAATACAAATGTACATTTGACTGCAGTAAATGGATATATAATTTGGTCAACGGTGTAGCTAGGGCCAGCAGTACACACACTAGCTTTATATGTCACATATGATGCGAGCCCCTTAAAATTAGCTTCAATATTAAGTCTTCAAAAGTCACATGATATGCAAGTATATATATATATATATATATATATATATATATATATATATATATATATATATATATATTATATATATAGTGTGTTGTTGAATTATTTATATATGGATGTGACTTTTTGCAGTAACAGTTATGTAAATATGTCTTGCAACATGAGACTGCCACAATTCATAACAATAGCTGACTTCACTGAACTGTTCTGCACCTCCGCATTATGCTTTGGTAGTAAGGGACTACCTTGACCAACTCTTTTCACAACGTTGGATCAGACAACATGGCAACAATGAATGGTGACCATATTCACCCAACATCAATGAACTTTGGGGTATGTAAAGAAAAAAAGTTTATGAGAAAAAAATCCACACAGAGTAGATGAATTAAAAAACTTCATGTTGGAAGTATTTATTGACATTGATGTGGATCAAGAGTTTGTGTCATACTGAGTGTCACAGTGTTGTGTAGAGTTTTAAGGATTGTTGCAAGGTTGAAAGAGGACATTTCAAACACTTACGAGATTAAATAGTGTTAAATAAATGTAATTGTAATAAATAAATGTAAATGTAATAAAATTTTTAAAAATAAAATTGTAAATGTATATTTACTTCTGGCCCACCCTGTATGTATTTATATATCACAAAGATTAAAAAGATGTGCATAAAGACGTCCACCTCTGAGCTTCCTGAAGACACCCACAGGCAGCTTGATCTAACATGTACAAATTGTGATAGTGTGTTTGTTAATGGCTGGTCTAAGGAGTTACTTGAGAGTGCACCAGCGGATGGTGGCAATTGATTATAAAGCTGTAAATGTTGAGCAACTTAAACGTGTTATTTACAGTAAGACATTTGGATCCAGAAGCGGTTTCATGAGACATTTTAAATTGCATGATGGTGTACCATCTGCTGTTGGACGTCTTAAGTATTCTGTTTGTGCCAGAGTCACATTTGTTCAGCAAGATAGGTAGTTCTGCCCACACTTGGACATGAGTTGGCAACCATATATATATATATATATATATATATATATATGCGCACACAGATACAAAGTTTAACATTTGCTATATTTATATAAAGACAAGTACACAATATTAGGGACAGAGTGTTTGTAAATATAAATAGTATATAACTAGTGTGGATTTTTACCAGTAAGTGAATTTATACCGGGTGGCCATTTGAAATGAGAATTGCCGTGGTTATCAGTCCTCTTATATAACAGTGAATGCTGGACAATCTCCTCGCAGATGAAAAAGAGACATAACATAACATAGAAATGTGGTTCTACAGAAGGATGCTGAGAATACAATGAACTGAACATGTGAGCAACAAGAAAGTTTTTGAGAAAATAGAAACAAAAAGGAAACTTATACATAACATCAGGAAAAAAAAAAGTCAAAATTTCTTGGACACATACTGAGGAAAGAGGGCTGGGAAAATCATACTCACAGGACAGATTAAAAAAAAAAAAAAAAAAAAAAAAAAGATGGCCAGAGGTAAACAATACATGACCTAGCTAACAAGGTTGAGTAAATGGATGGCACAATAAGGTTTAGGAGAGATAAAAAGATAATTTATTAGGAGCTACAAAGGACAGGAAATTGTGGAGAGCCATGATCACTAATGCCCTAAAGGGAAATGACAGAAGTAGTAGTAAGTCAAAATACAAGTGTTTGAGGAAGAATGTCATAGAACTACTGGTGTAGATTTTACAAGTGTGTAAATCTATACTGGGTGTCATTTTGAATGGGAATTAACTTGATCAGTTAATATGAAAAATCTAAATAGCCAAATAAGAATTTGGATTTTAGTAGCATACAAGAAGTACCCAGAAGTCTGTTTTTTTAGTAGGCTATTGGAGAAACAAGAAGCATTTAATTACAATAAATTGATTTCACACCAGGAATTGTCTAGGCTTGAACTCATGACTTAACAAGATCTTAACTAGTAGAATTGAATGAAATAAAGAGCACCTACCATTCATTCCTACATGCTGCGAGAAAAGTTGACAATTGAGATAAAACAGCTCTCGCTTGTGCTAGGTTGGATCTTATTTTATCTACTGATCATCTAGTGATTCAGCCAATTTTGGCAGTATGTTACTTAGGGACAAAGTCATCAAATCCTTTCCTCTGATCCTGTTACTATGCACATATGCAAATCAACTTGTAACTTGACACTTGAAAGGAACATAAAGTAGTCAGCAGTCATTCATAGGGACACAGGCATTCAAAATGAGGTAGTCATCTAGAGGCAGTTGAGATGAGAGATTCATCTAAAGGTAGTAGAGACAAAATAGAGCTTGGTCAGAGGAGAGATCAGCTTTTCTTTGTTTTTGGAAGTACGCCCAACTAATGACAACATTGACAATAGTAGGTTTATATTAGTATGCAGTTAAAGTTTATTTCAGATTATAGAATGGATGTAGATATGTATATTATATTCTGGACATTTTACTGTAGAGCAATGGTTAACAAGCTAGTGTCATTGCTGTCAATTGTCACTAGGTTCTGCACACTTGTGGCGGCCTTGTGCCAGATTGAGATTAACATATTATATAGATGAAATGGTTGCAAATCCAAATAAACAGTTATTTCATTTTTAATCCCATATTCAGGTTTTTTTTTATGAGCATTCTGAAGAGTCAAAGAAAAATGTCTTCTGATTTCCAGTCTCATCTTAATTAAAGAACGAATAAAATAAAAAATAAAAATGTTGCCAATCTCGTATTATGTTTAAATTCATGTCGTCGAAGTAACAAATAGGAAAGATTCTTAGAACAAATGCCAAGATGAAGTGTAGGGAAGCTACATTATAGAAGTTGGAAAATGACTTGAAACCAAGATGCCAGGTCAGGACCAATAACAGTGCAGATTCTTTTTCAGATTTTTGCCAAGATTCTCTGGATAGCAGAAACAGCAAATGTGGTAGCAATAATCAATGTCCAGACAAATAGTAGACTTAACAAAAAGAGAGAAATCAATCAAGTAGAGAAGTGGAGTGAATAAATGGTAGGAGCGGAAAGAGCTAAGTGAGGCGGGGAGAAGGAACTTACCCAGTGGAAATTTCCCATATTTTGATTGTTTTGTCTCTGGAGGCACTGACCACAAAATCTCCACTTGGCATGAAAGTGACACTCGAAACATTGTGGTCATGACCTACAATGAATATTACACAAATGAAATGTACAATCTGAAAATATTGAAGATTTTCAACAAAAACGCACATCACCTATTGGGGAGGGGTCATAAATATCTTACCTGCCCAAGTTCCTTTCTCTGTTATCTACCTTGACTGGGACCAATCAATATGTTAGGTAATATTTGAAGATTACAAAGTCTCATTTTAAATAAAATTTGAGATTAAAGAAATTTGCTGAGCAAATTTTACAAGAAACAAAATATTCTATGTGTTAATTAAAAAATCCATTTTAAACATTTGGAAAGGGTTTGTCAACATTGAAGCAGGTAAATAAAATAATATGCCAAATGACTTTAGCTAAGGACAGTATGAGAGTTAAAAAATAATTTCATTGGAAACAAGACTATCCCTTTTCAACATTTTATAGATTTTCAAACAAGAAAAGCTACTTCAAACTGAGTTTTTACTGAAAGATTCTTGAACAAAAATTTAAAAGACAAAATTAAAAAAAAGGAAAACACTTGTTTCAAGATATTTTTTTTTTCTTGTAGACCATTTAAGAAATCTTTTTTGAAGACAAAGATTTTTCCTCAGAAAAGAGAAAAAATAGACAACACAATCACTGGCCTACACCTCTTTCTCTCTCTCTCTCTCATTTGTACATTTAAATTGAAGAGGAAGAGAGTAGAGCGAGGGAAGAGAACGAGAGAGAAGTAAAATCTCTCCTTACCATGCATGGTACGAATACAGTCGTAACCAGTGAAGTCCCATAATTTTATAGACATATCAGCTGAGCAGGATACTGTCAAAGAGAAACAAAAATATATTAATGAACTCATTGAAAATATTGAAATTTAACAAATTTTGAAAGTCAATTCTTCTTGTATTTCAACTTTTACATCCACAGCAAACAGGAATTTTTTTTTTAGTTTTCATAATTAGTTTAAACCTTCTGTACTGTCAGATTGTCAAGAATCAGTTTTGTACAAACAGTAAGATGCATTTCCTATCTAAGTTAAGAATGCAATTTAAAGATGAAAAACAAAAATAAATCTTGCTATTATTTCTCAGCATGAAGCCTTTATCCAAATCTTTCATCACTTCCTGGGATTGCTTATATAAAGACAAAAAAAAAAAAAAAAAAAAAAAAGACTTATTTCTGGGTTTTTCTAACTGGCACTGTGAGATATATGGACTACATAAGACTTACATGGTCTACCTGCTGATTTTAATGACAGAATTTTTATATCAATCAAAATATACAAAAAATACAAGAAATGATTTCTCATCATTTCTTACCTTAGTCCTTGCACTAAACTAGGGGTTCTCAACCTTTTTCTATTGATGCCCCCCCCTTCTTTTCATTATTTTTTTTTTTGATGGCCCTCTCTCAGCTGTTTACTTTAGCAAAAGCTCATTTTACAATGTCCAAAACAAATAATCAGTGATATTTCAAACTTCAAAACAGTTAAATCTGATAAACTTTTATTTCACCAAAACGATTCTGCACATAAATGCGTATAACTTTCAGCAAAAAGATTCTGCACATAAATGCACACACAACTTTCAGCAAAATAAAAGAGATCTTCACATAAATTTTACATAAATGCATCCAAGTAACAAATGACACTATGTAATAATTTTCAAGTGTCTAATTTTCAAGTGTTTAAGTTTATTAGAGCTAAAATATAGGGGACAACAAGGATGTAGCTTTGTGCCCCTCCCCTCATCCAAAAATCTATCTGTGGCCTGCATAAAACATACCATGGCTCTGGGTTAAAAGCCCCTGCACTAAACAAATGATACAAATGAGATTTGAAATTGAACGCAATAATGCAAAAATCTCAGCCACAAGTTTGTGTTAATATTTGTCCTATCCAAATTTCATAAATGGGGAGACAACTGTTCAACGATAAACTTTGAATTCCCTTTGATATAACATTATTGTAATACTTAACAGGTGACAGAAATGACAACAAAAGCCTAGTAAAAAAAAAAAAAAGAAGTCTATGCTGTACATGAATTGACTGATGGGTTGAATGGCACCAGCATTGAAATGAGACATTGATTTGATGCTTCTGTTGGTTGATCAGTCATTTGTAGTCTCATTCTTACATTACTATTGACAGCTGTTCAGAATTAAAATATTTCTGTTATATTACAGCTAACACCTGCTATTCTAACCACCTTCATTCGCTCTGTATTCCATTTGTAAAGAGGAAGTTCAAACCAGACAGCTTTCAATTTATTGTATGAAGATAAGAAAAGAAAAATCATTAAAAACAAAACAAGAGAATTTCTGATCTTTCTACCCAGAATAAATTCAATAGGAAATTAAAGTTTTATTTGTTACTAATAATCATCCCATCATGTTGTCTTGATAGACTAATTATGCTGAAGCTAGTTCATGTCTTATTGTCAGTCTATGTTGTACACTGCTAACCCTTTCACTCTGCTAAGGAGCAAGGGCAAAATTACTTCTCGTCTAACCATGTGACTGAACAAGGCTGTTTTTGCCCTTGCTAGTATTGTCAAATAGAGAGACAATAATTGATGGCCAATTTCTTGCATCATGGAGTTCTTTGCCCTCTTATTGATCCATGATATTTACAAGATGTGTCAATAGCACCGCACCTCAAACACAGTGATGATTTTCATCCTGGATGCATTGAGCGTCCATGTATCTGAACCATACCATAATACAAACAAGATGTAACATTTTAGGAAGTGCACACATGTTTGTAAGTGTTGTGGCCTGTTTAGGGGCCAGAAAGAAAGACACGGAAGACGAAGGTAGGTTGAACAAGTATATTGAAGATATATACAAACAATAGTGTTAGTAATAAGTAGTTAGCTGTGTACGTCCAAACGGTAGATTAGCACTGCATCTACTACTGCCTAAACACTGCTGCTCAACCAACTCTCGCAGTTTGTATTTATGAGAGGAGGAGGAGGAAGAGTTCATTCTACTGTAGGAGGGTTTACCACAACAGTAAGTTAAGCTTCCTGTTTGCTAATAATTCTTTCAACTTGTTTAATAGGTTCTTAGATATCGTTATCTGTTGCCCGATTTCACAACTGGCTGTATGTCTGTCAGACCCAAACTAAATGAAAGATGTGATTTGCTTAATGCTCTCTCCATTGATGTCCAGTTTCACTTGCTCATAATTGCTTAATGTGTTGTTCTTTGAGACCAATATAGATTTGGCTTTGCTTGTACTGATCTTCAACTTGTACTCCAGACTTTTCTGGTTGATCGCCTCCAGCATGCCTCAAGTCTTCAATATTGTCTGCAATTAGCACAGTGCTATATGCATATCCGACATGATCGATTCTCATGCCATTTACTTGGACATCAATATTTTCCAGCTCATCTTCACATTTTTTTCAAGATCCACTTTGAGTACATGTTGAATATCACTAGAGATGCTATGCAGCCCCGTCTTATACCCCCAACAAATTTTTAAATAGTCCATCTGGCTGTCGGGGTGCATAAGCCACTCACCGATTCCAGTACAAATTCCACTACAATCTTGCTCCCCCCTGCACAAACATTTATTGTGCCGATTTTCTGCTTGAAAACAACTTCCCTCAGCTTATTGGGGTTCACCTTTTGAAAAGCCTTTTCATAATCAATGAAGCAGAGTACAAGGCTTGCCTCTTCAGTGTCAGTCTCCCCGCCCCCCCATGAAATCCAAACTGCACATCTGCAACAATCTTCATGCTACTAACTCTACATATTATTATTACTCCACCCAACTGATATTCTGGTAGTAATCGTCCCAAAGACTTACAGGATTGCTTTTTGCCAAAAGAGGAATTTTACAGCAAACTTTTATAGTTTTTCTACAGTTCATATTGCTCTGGGTAAGCCAAGCTTAGAATGGCACATATTGGGAGGGAAAATTGTATTGTGCCAGTCTTGGTGAAGATCATCATTCTGTTTTGAAGAAAAAAAATAAAATCAGCTTTCAAAATCATAGCTTTTAAACTGAAAAACTGGCTCTTGGTAGGAGTGAAAATGATTTAATAACGTCAACCACAAGGCAAGCTTGCATCATTTTTATTCACTGATTTCACTCAGATTCAATCTTATTTGTTGACTTTGGTACAAATGATGCATTTCTAGATTAGTCATTAATTACTCTATTTACATTGTTCGGCCTGTTGTCGTCATCTCTGTTGTCATATTCAGTACATTTCATCAATTGTATGCTCCGGATGTCTTCAGGTGATTGGAATTTCGAACCAAATCTAGTTCCACGTGCCATGCCTCTTCTGGATATCTCAGCTTCAGTTACTTCCCTTTAGCAACTCAACTCTCCAAGTTTTTGTTCACCTTTGCTGCATTGAACTCACAACTCTCTGCGTCAAGTCACTGGATTAGTTCAACCAATGATTTTATCCACTGGGCCATGAGGACAACAGTCTGAACAATGTAAATAGTTACAATACGTCATCTCAGAAATATAGACAGATATAGTCATTGATTCTTATGGCTTATCAACCCCTTTGCAGGTAAATTAAAACTAGAAAATATTTTTAGATTCTAAGAATTTCTATTTTTGAGATGATAATGATTTAATCTTAAACCATAGCTGTGGAAGAGGAGGTGGATTCATACCTAATCAGAACATAATAAACAAACAAGAAATAACGTGAATATAAAGTGGGGGTTCAATTCTGTATTACAATCATTACATAAATTAATCCCTCACTTTGTGGCCACAGTAGTTTCTATACATTTATATTCCAGTAACATACATAAATCTAAAAGACATGCCTGATTTGACTGACCTGTTTTCTATGATTTATCAACCCCCTTTGCAGGTTATTTAAAGCTGGAAAATATTTTTAGATTCTAACAATTATTTTTTTTTTAATGATTTAATGATACAAGTCTAATTATCCTTAGACTCATTTCCTCTAAAATTATTTCTAAGAAAACAATCACCTTCATTTTTTTGGAGGTAATAATGGTTTAGTAATACAAGTGTTACTAATTAACCCATAGTTGAGGGGGGAGGTGGAGTAATACCTTTCCCAAGGATATTTGTGCATAAGAGAATATAACAAACTCAACTGAAATTTGCACATCCAAGTTTTACAGGGCCTGATATTCCTGAGCAGTTACCCATCTAATTACTGACTAGGATTGGCATAACTTAAATTCGGTGATCATATGGGAACCAATGTTTCAACATGATGTGGCCATAAGCCCACTAAGATTAGTCAGGAAAGAGTCCGAGACTGGTACATTCAGCTGTAAATGATTTTTGATAGACTCATTCTACACTTAGCACATCAATGCCAAAGCTCAATTTATTATACAGCAGTTGGATTTTTCTCCTGCTTTGCTTTCAAACTGGGATTTAGACACAAAGCTTCTTTAGCCAAGATTATTTAAGAGGGGGGGGGGCTTTTTTTTCTTTTTTAAATATTTCACAGCAATAGCTGTCAAGAATTCAATTTTTTTTTTTTTTTTACAATAACCCCACCACAAAAAAAAAAAAAAAAAAAAAAAAAAAAGAGTAATGTACAAGTATATTATCCTATTATAATTGTGCTTGTCCCTCCCTTTGTTAGTTCGTACAACTGTTGTGCCCTGCCAATATCATATAAATAATTGACTATTCCATTTTGAGAGGAAAAGACACTACTTGGTTTCAGTGAGAAAATAAAATAAACATGAAAAGGGAAGATAGAAGGGTTTAATGTCTCCTGCCAATAGCTTGTAAATAATGGATTATACCGTTTTGATAAACAAAAACACATATCAGAGACGATACTTGGGTTCAGTGAGAAAATGAATAACAGAAAGAAAGAAGATAGAAGTGTTTAACGACTGTTTTAGTGAAATGGAAAAGTTGTCAATTTCAAATTGTTTCAAATTGTTTCATTTGTACCCCCTTACTTCTTAAAATATTTATTCATATTTATGACTGTTATTGCAATATTCTGTTAAAGTTGTTAAGCCCAAATATTTAATGAGGCAATGGGGGTATTTCTATTTATTGTTGTAGAACTCATCATAAACTTATTGAATCATTAACTTCAGAATTGAGATTCATTAGGATATTGAAATAGGAAAACAGTGAAATTTTTACTGGTCTTTCTAGCTGTTATTAATTTACAGTAGACTCACTTACCCAGCAGTTTCCCAGTGTGATCAAAAGCAATATCTTGAACAGAATCTGTGTGGCCCTTGAGAGAGCGCTCATAATCTCCAGCTTCATAGTCCCACACCTATATTATAATAATAATAATAATAATAATAATAATAACAACAACAACAACACCACCACCACATACATACAATATTATATACAGGAAAATTACGTAACTAAATATCAATTTTGATGTTGCTTCTCTGACCTTGAAGTTTCTTGAGATTATCCATTCTTTAAGGAGTTGTTTGAATATGTTTATTTCAAATTTTTTCATGTCATTTGAAAAAAAATTTTAAATAAACTTTTAATCAAACAACAGACCACTTGAATGGATAATTCCAAGAGACTTTGAAGTCAGGGAAACATCAAACACTGATATTTACAGTGAAGTAACTTTCCTGGAAATAATATTATCAATGCTCTATTTTTAATATTAATAGTTTTAAAATTGAACACTATATAAAAATATCTGCTTTACTTTTGAACTGTTATATTAAATCTTTACATGCACACACATTATATAAGTCAGTTTTTGTTTTAGTGCTATCTGCTGCACTGATTTTTTTTTTCAATTTATATATTAAAAAAAAAAATCACATGGAAACCTAATAATAATAGAATATATATTTTTTAAAATTACAAAATTCTGGTTGGAAACCTAATAACAATAGTGATAAGAATTTTTTGACAAACAGAATATGTTTGTAAAGTTGAAAGCAATCACAGCTGAATAAATAAGATGTGATACAAAACACAATTAAGTTAATATTATAAAAAGATGTAAAATGTGACTGGCTTACCTTAATGGTGGCATCTTCACTGGAAGAAACAATGCAGCTATAGAGGGGATGAAATATGACTTTGGTTATTGGGCTTCTGTGACCCTTGAGTTCATATCGTTCTGGAGGTCGAGGAATCCATTCTGTGGGACTCCTGTTGCCACGAGTCGGGGCACCAGCATTCACCTCTTTTTCTGCTTCTAATAATTTGGTCTCTAAATCCATCACCTGACAAGTAAAAACACAAGTCAAGAAAGGGACCCTGAAAATATCCCTGTTGGAGATGGGATGGAGACAAAGAATGAAATGTAAAATTGTCCATTAGAAGAAACAAAAAAAATACCTACTGAAAGGAAGTAACAAAAAATATTTGAACACCAAAATCACAACCATAAACCCGTGAAACACAAAACTTATATCTATCTTTTATGTTTTCAGGCATGGTTGCAGTGTAAACCAGTAATTGGCTCTGTAGGTGTTGAACAAACACACATGCACATGAGCAGGCATCTGCAACAGGAATTAGCAAGCCACCCTAGAAGACAGGTATACTCAAAAAGCGGCAACCAGCCATATTACTGGAGTCATTTTTTGTGCTAAAAAGTTCTCAGTCAGACAAAGTGAATCCACTCCCAGCTCAAATGTCAATTTTCTACACAAGTATTTTCTTCATAACAAAATGACCACCAGATTCAAAATCACCAAGAATTGATTTTTTTTTTCATGGATTATCAACACCTTTATGGGTTATTTGGAACTAACACATTTGGATTGTAACAACTGTTTTTTTCCCTAGTGAATATTGCATTAACAATTGTTTTTTTTTATTTTTGAAAATAAAGATTTTTTTTCTCCCTCAGATATAATTTTTACTATTTAACCCATGACAGGGGTTGGGGATGGATTCATTCTTTTCCTGAGAGTATTTGTGCATAAGTGAACGTAACGACATTACTTTTCCAGAAACGTACAGCTGGCGACATTACTTTTCCAGAAACGTACAGCTGGCGACATTACTTTTCCAGAAACGTACAGCTGGCGACATTACTTTTCCAGAAACGTACAGCTGGCGACATTACTTTTCCAGAAACGTACAGCTGGCGACATTACTTTTCCAGAAACGTACAGCTGGCGACATTACTTTTCCAGAAACGTACAGCTGGCGACATTACTTTTCCAGAAACGTACAGCTGGCGACATTACTTTTCCAGAAACGCATACTGGCGACATTACTTTTCCAGAAACGCATAGCTGGCGACATTACTTTTCCAGAAACGTACAGCTGGCGACATTACTTTTCCAGAAACGTACAGCTGGCGACATTACTTTTCCAGAAACATAGTGAGGTTTAGGAATTTGCTTTATTAACTTGTTAAATTTAATATTATTAATAGTCTCATGTGGTGGAATATAGATAGAACAGATATTTACTGATTTTTGCAATATTGTTTTGACAGCAATTATTTGGAGTTCACTGTCTATGGTTATTTGGTGTTGAGGTATGTCTTTCCTAACTAGGATCAATTCACCTCCAGAAGCTCTGTGTCCGTCTTTGTGTAAGTGATTGTATGAATTGTAATTTTTAATGTTTAGCTGGTTGGTGTCCTTGAGAAATGTTTCATGAAGGCATACAACTTTGGGGTTATATTTATCGAAGAGTCTTAGAAGTTCTTCATAGTTGGCTCTAATTCCTCTGCAGTTCCATTGTAGAATTATTTTGCAGTTTCATTATGCTAAATTAGATTTATTGTTTTTCCTAGATTTGTTTATATTGCTCAGCTCTTCAGTCTCCATTCTTTCTATCGAGCTAAATCTATTTTTGGTATCAACCTTTGATGTTGATAATTCTGTAGATTGACTTGTCAAGCTCGACAACTTTACCCGTTCCTGTGAGGATGAAGTTTGAGTATTGTCTATTTTAGATTGTAGGGCACGTTCTGTCTTATTGTTTGGTTCAGTGTTTCATGTTTGATTTTTCCCAAGACTGTCACTTTTATAAGTAGGGCAACGGCTTGATGATTTCTGCGCCTTTTGTTTCTTAGGAGAAGTGGTTTTTGTCTGCACTGTTGTTTTTGTAGTCGTTTTAATGGAAGATTCTCCTTTGTCCGCAGGATTACTTTGAGTAGTTGGTGTTTCTGAAACTGTAGCTGTATTGTTTTTTTTTTTTGTTTTTTTTTATCAAGACCACGCAAGGCTTTTATCTTATTAATAAAATTGTCCCAGTCTCCCAGGTTCAGCTGCATTAATGTTTTGACAAATTCTTCATATTTGTTCTGTTGTTTTTTTTCCTGAAGGACTACTTGGGAATATGTGGTAGTGTTTGACCCTACTACCATCTTCCGTGCTTCTTGGTAAGGAATGTTATTTTTGTGCTTTATCGATAGAATTTCCTTTTCTCTTCTCCAACTGTCGCAAGATCTTGCGTAGACCGGATGATCACCACCACAGTTAGCACATTTATTGGGAAATTCACATTCATTCATGTAATGGACAGGATCTTTTCGGCCACATTTCCCATACACCTCTCGTCCTCTACACGTATCTTCATGATGTCCATATTTTTGACATTTATAACATCTCAGAGGGTTAGGCACAAACTGCTCGACCCTCTCCATGGTATAGCCTACTTTAATTTTCTTGGTGAGTTAAATGTCATTATATAGGTATTTGTTTCTATCATTTTACTTTCTTTTTTTATTGAAATTCGTTTAACATCAATGACATCTTGTTTTTTTCAACTCTTTCTTAATTACTTCTATTGTACATAAAGATAGTTCTTTGCTTCTCACAACCCCCTTACTTGTGTTCAGGGATTTGTGAGGGTATGTTTTTAACTGGAACGTTGTGGAACAGTCATTTTTAGTAGAAAATCTGCATGTTTCTTCTTTTCCACTTCGACAAGCAGTGTCTCATTTTTCAATTTCTTGACAGCTAAAGGTGTTAAGTTGCCTGATATCACCTTCTCTATTATAAAGGGAGATAAATTTGTGATTGGTGAGCTATATGACTATAACAACAAATCTTGGAAAGGATGATTCTGTTTCATTACCTGAAGAAGAATCAGATTCTATATAATTGCGTTTAAGTTTTTTATTTGTAAAGGAAGCCATACGTGTTTTTATGTTTTTCGCTGGTCCCATGCTCCTCCACCCACCACGGAGTCCAACTTATGTTGGGAATAAACCAAGGGGGAAACCCCATTCACCTTGGCTAAGACGGGGATACAAAACCAGTATACTAACACCAAGAGTATGTTTCTGAACCTCTATCAAACACTCAACAGTCTAATGTTGTTCAACAGTCATATCTCTTGACACAATTGACCCTCAGGCCCCCGCCTTCTAATAAAAAAAAGAAAATAAAGACAAATATATATGCTAGGGCATGTCGGGACTAGCCGATTGATCGGATCGGGCCTCTCCGACCGCCTGTCTAGCCTAGATAAGGGCCAAAGGGGAGTGTTGCAGTACCATGGCCGCTTTTTCCTGGGTCATGGATTGCTCAGCCACCAGGATCCTGTCTCCAGGCATTACGGGTCGCCACCCATGGCCAACAGGTGGTCCCATTGAGAGGCTTTTACACTCTGCAGGGGGGACAGTCGACATATTCAGACACCCTGCCGACCAGGAGAAGGGCCTATTTAACCAATAAGTGGGACCCTAGCTGTTGGACGTAGTTTATCATTTTACCCAGGATGCGGACACAGTTTATCGTCATACCCAGGACAGTCATCACACTTGGATAAAAGGAATTCTCACATGATAAATTCTTTGTATCAACTATAAACAAACTTTTATTTTTTTTTTTTTGTTTCATGATTTAATTAAATTTTGTTTCAGGAGTTTTCTTGTCAGGAACCAGTAATCAAAATCATTATAATTCAATCATTGAAGGATATAATAGCTTTATAAACCAATTCTGATCTATTATGTTCACCTGCTCCTACCACAGTGAACAGTATGCTTCCTTTTCCTTTCATACATAATCTGCAATGCTTGATTTTGTTGCATTCCTTTTGATTATAGCATTTCAATTACCTTCCAGCCTACTTAGGAATTGGATAGTGTCTCTTATCTAGTATTTTTCAGAATTATCTCAAATATCATGCAGAATGTTAAATCATATCAACTTCAGCTGCTGATTTCAGGTCAGCCAGGATGGGGGCCCAAACCTTGTCAGGCTGATCTTGAGTTATCCTTCACCTAGACAGGTTGCCACCTCAAGGCAAGAAAGTCCACTCTTCCATGCTATCTAACCCATAGCTGAAGGTTGGTTGGTTGATTTTGTTTAGCAGCATATCAACCTCTACGGGTTATTTAATGTACAAAATCTAGATATTTTGACACAGTTCTATAGCTTCAACAAAGTATACTTTAAATGCATAAATAAAATGTATAGCTGGTCTTTTATATATATTTTTAAAGTGAAAAGAGAGGTCACAAACGTTTTTGGTTATATGGATTTTTATAAAAATATAAGTTATACTTTATTTTTCATATTTTTGCTACATGGGTTTCGGGTCTTGTGACCTTCATCAGGGAAAGAATGGTTATTTCCACATTATTTAATCTTTACCACACTGGTGATGAAAATTATCACTGTGGAATTCTCCCCCTTTGCTGCTCTAGGCGCATTATGTCGCTCTGAGAATAAACACTTGTCAACTGTTATTTCCAGTATTTTAAGCTGAAAATCCTCTACTACCACTTACAAACAAAATAAACTTCTGTTTTCCAACACCATTTTGAATTCTTCTAGACTCTACATGACATATAGTATCAATTAAACCTAGGTTAATTTTTTGCAATTTTTCTGTAAATAAAAAATGGCCACATCAACATCCAACAAAGTCTAGTTTTTTTCTGTAGGACATTGATGCTGATTTGAAGGCTTTACTCAAGTGGATATTGACAGTGAAGTGGTTGAACATAATAACCACATTAGTGACGTGGAGGAAAGTAATGATGACTACTAGCAGCTACTATCATCCATGCCCAACTAATTTCATAGAATCTACTGGCGACCATCAATATACCTGATAGACAAAATAATTCACCTTCAGAAAGGTCATTTATAAGCAAAATAACTTTATTCGTCAATGAGATCATGTCAACGAGATAAATATGATAGGTGGAAAAAAAAAAAAAGAGCAAACAAATGCTGGCATTTTCTCGTATGTAAACATAAGGAAACATCACTTTTTTTGACAAAATGAAAGCCATCTTAGTGTGACGGTGAGAGTTTGGGAAACACACATGTATATATATTTTTTTTTTAGTGAAATTGGACTGGATTTGAACAGCGAAATTAGATCAGAGCATTTTTGTTTACTGATGTGGAAATCTGATCAAGCCCATTTAGAATTGGGCCATAAGAAAGACAATGGAAAATGATAAAAATAATTTTTATTGGTTAAAATTTGAAAGACCTTACTAAAGCTATGAGAAACTTTGAAATTCACATGATTTTGGGTTGAAGGCAGCATTTGTGATAATCGCATGCGGGCCAAGGGTCAATTTATGATCAGCCAGGTTTATCTATATAAACGCGTAGTTATGCTGAAAAAGTGGCAGACGGTCGAGTGCAGTCGAGCTGGGTGGATAGAGATCAGAGATTGAAAGTGACATCAGAGATTGGAACAAAATGCCCGCTAACAGGTGTTGCTGATACATCTAAGACTGCTACTGCTACTATTATTACTAGTACTGGAAACAGAAACGTTGCACAAGCTACAATAATCAAAAGGTTTTTTTTTTGGGTTCATCTGTCGTTGAGTGCAGTCGAGCTGGGTGGAGAGAGATCAGAGATTGAAAGTGACGTCGGAGATTGGAACAAAACCCCCGTGAACATGTACTGTTAATATAAGTACTGCTGCTTCTGCTACCACGAAAATTACTACAACTGTTACTACTGCCGAGGAGGAATGCAACTATAAACTTTAAGCAGCACACAGAAATCTTTATCTCTCGATCGCAAGAGTCGTATATCGTTCTGAGACAATTTAGCAACAAGTTAATTACAACCCACTCTCTCTCTCTGTCCAGAATCCCGTGTAGGAGTTTTTACGCCAATTACTTTTCAATAACCCGTTTCTTTTCTCTACAATTCTTTTCTGCTATATAAAAGACATTAACAATTCAATCATTGAATAGTTTTGTCCAGCATTCTGCAGATGTTAATTTTTTTTTTTTTTTGCTGCATTCTGAATTGCTTAGCACAGACTCTCCAGCCATGTCTACATCTTCAGTCGACTGTGAATGAATGTACATCACTTCTGCTTTCTGGATCAAACCAAACACAATGTGGACAGGAAGCAGGATAAACCAGTGGACCAGTCAAATGATCTACGGAGGCTCAAGGGACCTACGGCCATTCCCTTAAGTTCAGTTAAGACCGAGTAGACACCTCAGCCCAGAGCGTAAGACATCGGAGGTTGAGGGACTGGGGCAAAAGTGTTAGATTAGCAATTTTGCTTCTTATTGCACTCCAGAACTCCACAAGGAGTAATAAAAGTTAATGTTGAATTGTTTATGTATTTTTTAATGTATTTGTTTTTTATTTCAATTTTTTTTTTTCAACATCAAAACATGCATGCCAAACGAAATGCATTACATCAAAATAATACTCATTCAGTCTTTTATTAGTGTATAAAAAATCTACTTGCATAATACAAAGAAAGTTATAGCAATTTTAAAACAGTAAGTGTTCATGTTTTAGCACTGTCAAAAAAAAAAAAAAAAAAAAAAAAAAAAATGCAGTGGCAGAGGGGAACAATTCTAGAAACAATTTCATGTGGTAACGGTTAAAGGAATTAATTTTTTTCTTTGTTTTCTTATGTTTACCCATTGTCTTTTATGTATAGTAGTAATCCAAATTCATCTTGAACTTGTGGAAAAAAATTTCTTCTGCTTAAGGAATAATAAAACAATTAGGATTGGTCAGAGAAAGGGGGAAGAATGGAGGGATTTTATGACTTCTATGTTTTTCTAAATCTATCTCCATTTTTGTATATTGTGCGAGTTTTTGCTAGTATGTGTATAAATATTTGTTCTCTATACATAATTTTATGCGCTTTATATACATATATAGTTTTGTTTTTGTTTGGAAGTTCACTATTTGCCCATAGCTGGGACCCTAACAGGTGCTACTACCCCAGGTCAGGGTGGACCTAGGAACAACAGTAATTAAGAGGTAGTTCAAAACCTTTAATCTCCCAATCAGAGGCCTTGCAGCCAGATGTAATTTATCACAATGCCCAGGACTGAAGGAAGATGGAACCTTGCCTTTCCCAAACACCATTAGTATGAATTGAGTGAAACAAAGTTGATTTAAATTCAGCAAAGAAAATTCACTTCCAATGTTGATAACTTTTACACTCTCCACACCTTCAGAATATTCATCCAGTGATTGTAAAAGCAGTTGGCTTTTCAAAGGAGAATGAATGAAGGCTTACATAGCAAAATAGGCAGGGGTTTAGAAACAAACAAGTCTATATTTGTAGCCTACATTCCCTCAATCAGTCAACACACACTGACAAAAAAAAAAAAAAAATAACTCACCTTCTTTTGTAATCTTATAACTGAGGTCCATTTTTTTTCCAACAATCCAGCATATTTTTTATCAATTTCTCCAGGCTACAAAGAAAAGAAAAAAAGAAAAGTAACAAGCATTAATAAAAATAATAATTACCAGCAGAGAAATAATTAGACAAGGTTTCTTGCAGTTTATATATTCAATTGACTTCATCAGAAGAGATCAGTTATTAGCAATGTACTGAACTGATCACCTACTTGTGCCTTGCCAAAATCATAATATACCATTTATGATGAATAGGCCAACATATTTCACAATATTACTTGTAAAAATGATCCTTCCCCTTTTTAGCCCACTGTTTAGTAAGCCTTCTTTATTTCAATACCATATTCAGCTATGCCTGAATATTGTAGAAAGAAACCATGTTGACATTGTCAGTGGCTAAATACAGTATATTTTAACCTTGATGCTAGAATAGAAAAAGAAGGGGAATCCAAAAAATTAACATCATGGTATTTGGAGTAATCACTAATGATGGCAATGTTATGCCTCCATTTATCTTGCTCCAGGGTCTCAGACGCAGTATGAAGGCCTATATCAAGTGCCTGGGTCAAAAGGGTGGCTGCTGGAAGTGAACAGCACTCTACACCATGCCACACGAGCAGGAAAACCCAGTCATGATTCTCAGATAATTTCTGCGACCACATCATCTCTTACATCTGGCTACCTAACTCCCCAGACTACAACCCCCTTGATTATTATGTGTGGGGTTCAGTTGAGTGAGAGACCAACAAAACTCCTTGTAACACCAACGACGAAATGAAGGTTAGGATTATGGCAGCATTCACCAACTTAAACAAGGAGACCATACAGAAGAGTTTGAGGAGATTGCAAAGTTGTATGGAGGTCATAGTTAAAGCCAATGGCAATCTTATTGAATATATTTACTCTTTAGTATTTCAAGATATTTTTGTGTAATTTTGAAAAAACATATCTGCTAAAATGAGATGTCAGAGTTATTTTCATTTTTGCATAATTTAGAATACAATTTATCCATCGCACCCTATAGGGTGTATCAAAAAGTATCAAAAATACTTTTCCAAACTGTGGAGGTCTCACAGATAAAAATCTAAAGGATTCAAGACAGGGTAACATGCAGGCCATGGAACCAGTCCTTCCTTACCTATCTATCTCATGTAAGATGTCAGCCAGTGCATCACAAACAATGGGACTAAAATGTGCCACATGCGTTTTTGTATTGGCAGGGGTACATCCTCTAGCAGGTCTGGAAAAGTGTTTGAGAAAGTCCCTGCAGACAGCTCCTGTAAGACATGCTGAGAGAACATATGGTCCAACAGTCACCTACAATTCCAGTCCACACATTAATCATAAACTGATGCTGGTCTCGAGTCTGTACTGTACTATAGGAAGTTAGGTGGCCAGATGGAAGGGGATGATGGGGTTGCAGAAATTGTTTGACAGTAATGACTCCTGTTGCCATACACACACCCTCTCGACTCAGGGCTGCACTACCTCCTCAAGGCACATGATGTAGGCCTTAGTGTCGAGTCTGAGACCCTCACCAACAAATTCAGTTCTTTTCTCATCAGAATTGGTAAGAGTGAGTTTTTTTAAGCTGCCGTACTTTTGTAATAACCATTAGATTCATCCAACTCTGTTAGAATCCTCTGCACAGTCCTCAGATTTCCACAGAGTTCGTATTGGAGCTTCTGGCACAAATACCAAGCAGTACAGCATGCCATCTCCAAATTTCTGGTGGAGGTGAATTGCATCATGCTGCATCTTTTTCTCAGAGACAGTATCCAACTAAACCTATTGGACTGTACAGTCGACAAAATAAAAAAAAAACAACATGCATGCACAAAATAAAAAATATAAAATCGTGACAATTACCCATCTATATATAATTTCAAACACTACTATACAAAAGGAAGACATGGATTCAATCCCTGTTAGGAAAAGCATTTTTCTTTCCTAAGATTTCTCAAATATACAGACTGATGGATGTAATACAGTGTTTAATAAATAAAAATAGAGTGTTTATTTTGAGTATGAGTATTCACTATATTATTTCAAGTAGTCGGGGTGTCAAATTAGGAATGAAGTCTACAGATTCTTTAGAGATATATATCAGCTTACAGATAGGGGTCCACTGAAGTAGTGTTCACATCATGGTCCCTGTCAAAGAAGTTCTCTCATTTGCCAATCCCTCCCCGACACTACTGACTTCATCTGCCAGACTGCTATCATCATGACTTCTCAAGACACTGATAAGGGTTGATGTTACAAACACAGTTCCTCTTCAGGGCCAGCCTTGAGCATTGTCTCCTTTAGAATTAAAGGTTTTACTGGCGCCAAGCAAGATCTCTTGGTGGAGCTGTGTATTCAACTGCCAATGCAGGCAATTACAAACCATGGAACATCTAGTTTACACTAATCTTGAAGATTCATGCACACTTAACAATCCAGATAAGGCTCTGTGTGCAACACTGGATGGCTGTAGTGTAGAGACTTGATAATAATAATAGGTTGCAGATACTGTTCATTTCAGACATAAATGTATGCTACCATCTTGTACTTTGTTTAAAAAGAAAAAGAAAAGAAGAAGAAAAGAAAAAAGAAGAAAAGAAAAAAGAAGAAAAGAAAAAAGAAGAAAGAAAAAGAAGAAAAGAAAAAAGAAAAAGAAGAAAAGAAAAAGAAGAAGAAGAAAGAAAAAGAAAAAAGAAGAAAAGAAAAGAAGAAGAAAAGAAAGAAGAAGAAAAGAAAAAAAAGAAAAGAAAAAAGAAAAAAGAAAAAGAAGAAAAGAAAAAGAAAAAAAAAAAAGAAAAAAAAGAAAAAAGAAGAAAAAAAAAAAAGAAGAAAAGAAAAAGAAGAAGAAGAAAGAAAAAGAAGAAGAAAAGAAAGAAAAAGAAGAAGAGGAAGAAAAAGAAGAAGAGGAAGAAAAAGAAGAAGAGGAAGAAAAAGAAGAAGAGGAAGAAGAGGAAGAAGAAAAGAAGAGGAAGAAGAAGAAAAGGAAGAAGAGGAAGAAAAGGAAGAAGAGGAAGAAAAGGAAGAAGAAGAAAAGGAAGAAGAAAAGGAAGAAGAAGAAAAGGAAGAAGAAGAAAAGGAAGAAGAAGAAAAGGAAGAAGAAGAAAAGGAAGAAGAAGAAAAGGAAGAAGAAGAAAAGGAAGAAGAAGAAAAGGAAGAAGAAGAAAAGGAAGAAGAAGAAGAAGAAGAAGAAAAGGAAGAAGAAGAAAAGGAAGAAGAAGAAGAAGAAGAAAAGAAGAAGAAGAAGAAGAAAAGAAGAAGAAGAAAAGGAAGAAGAAGAAGAAGAAGAAAAGGAAGAAGAAGAAGAAGAAGAAAAGGAAGAAGAAGAAGAAGAAGAAAAGGAAGAAGAAGAAGAAAAGTGAACATGTACATACAGACAGACCCTAGTATAATACATGGAGGTGAGTGGTTTGGCGAAATAGCCGAATCCTCCAAAGATAATTTATTTTGAGAAAACTCCAAAGAATGACAAGAACTGCTTGACAATTCTTTTGGTTGGTTGATTTTCTTTAGCAGCCTATCAACCTCTATAGATTATTTAATGCCAAAATCTAAATATTTTGCATGTAATTTTGCATTTTGTACAGAATTTTATACTTTCAGGGTAAACGTATGAATTTTAGATACATAGTTTGTAGATCTTAAATGTATTGTTGATAATTTTAATATAAAAATGTATTTTTATATTTTTTTTTTAGTGTTACATTGTCATTTTGCTATAAAAATGTATTGGTCATCATTTTATTATGAAAATGTAGTGTTGATTTTTATTTAGAGGTTCACTGTTTGTCCATAGCTGAGGCCCAAACAGATGCTACCACCCCACATCAGGGTGGACCTGGGAACAACAGAAGTTAACAGGTGGTTCCATGTTCCTCAAAACATCTAATCTCCCAATCAGAGGCCTTGTCGCCAGATGTAGTTTATTGTCATACCAAAGAAGTAAACAAAATCTAAATTGAAAGAAAATGACTGATATAGATATTCTCAAAAGATTAGTACTATAAATGTCTGTCTAAAATAATGTTGATATCCATAAAGAAGTCACCCACAGATACAGGCATTTTGATAATTGTGACTCCCTCTTCTACTTACCATCTCAGTCTCCTTCTGGAATGCAGTCAAGGAGGATATATAGCCATTGGAGCTCAAATAGTCTGCTACAGCTTTATTCCTAAAAGAAAATAAGAAAAGCAAATTAAGTAAAATTTATTTATTTGGAATCTTGTTCCAAAGAGAGAAAACAACTTACCATCAATTTCATTGTGAAAAACACTGACTCGCATAATCAAAGGTAGTGTAGTCAGATAAGTACTTAATTAATCAACCATTTAACAATAATAATAAAATCAAAATCTCAAAAATGTGGCACATGGGAACATCAACAATCCCTGTTGAAGTTGGAATCCTCGGATTGGTTGGAAAAGATTTCAGTAGATTAATTGAAGGGATTCCTGGAAGCCTATGCCTCAAAGAAATATAAAATATTGTTCTCACAAGTACAGCCCACACTTTACAAAGAGCTTTATCTATATAAAATATTTTTTTTTTGTCAATGGAAAGTGTCATGTTGCCATTCCTAACCTTAGATCTCTGATCAGGACCCAGAAAGAGATGTGTACATGCCAGAAATCAAAGGAAATAATAATAATACAGGTGCACCAATGGGGGAAATTGGTTTTTGTACCAATATAAAAGTTGAATGCATAGTCAAATACCCAGCCACTTGTTTTTAACAACTGATAGAAATTTATATGGAAACTAAAGTTCCAGACTAAATTTTTAAACTAATGCCCCAGAACAGTCCGGAAAAACGACTTTAATCATTCCCAAAAATTTTAAAACTATGCCAAAATGTTATTTTTTTGAACACTTATCATTTATAGTTGTTAGTAGCATACTAAAAAACACCATTAAAATGTTTTGTAAATATTTTGATCTATTCAATGTTTAAACATCAGCCTTTATTCCCTGCATTGAACATGCTGAAAATTTAAAAAAAAAAAAAAAAAAAAATACAGGTTGTAACAAAAAATTAAAAAGTGAAAATTTTACAGATTTTAATGATGAATAAATACAAAAAGGCATTAATTAAATCTTACTGTAATATTAAAAAAAAAAGTTGCAAGTTTGTTATTAAACATTTTTGCTAAATGACCTTGATTTTACAGAAATGTTCTTATTAATCTTCATGCTCAGAGTAACTTTTATCAAGCTTTAAGAATTGTATCAAATGCATTCTTTTTCTATATAAAAATAAATATTAATGCATTCCAACTAGTCACAATCATTAGTTCTTAAAATCTTTATAAAAATAATTTTTATTTACAATTAGTTGCCTCAGGAATGGGCCAATATTGGTAGACAGGTATGGATAGGCTGATATTCAGTTTGTGTATGAGTGGAATATATCACTGCAATGCCCTCACTAAAATTGTGCATGCATGTGCATGCATGTAAAATCCCCCTCACAAAGAAACATATACATTTATTATACAATTAAAATTTAATGCAAACAGTGACAAGAATCACATGTGCAAAAACAGAAATCAAAGTTTTCACTAAGAAAACACTAAAAAGGAAAGAGAAAAAAGGAAAGAGCTAAAAAGGAAAGATAAAAAGGAAAGAGCTAAAAAGGAAAGAGCTAAAAAGGAAAGACATTTATTACAGCTAGCTAAAAGGAAAGAGCATGCTAAAGAGCTAAAAAGAAAAGAGCTAAAAAGGAAAGAGCTAAAAGGAAAGAGCTAAAAAGGAAAGACTAAAAAGGAAAGAGCTAAAAAGAGCTAAAAGGAAAGACATGTAAAAAGGTAAGTTCTTATATATAATGTAAAAAAGGAAAAGCTAAAAAAAGGAAAACAGAAATCAAAGTTTTTTACTAAAAAACTAAAAGAGCTAAAAAGGAAAAGCTTTAAAAGGAAAGAGCTTTAAAAGGAAAGAGCTAAAAGGAAAGAGCTAAAAGGAAAGAGCTAAAAGGAAAGAGCTAAAAAGGAAAGAGCTAAAAGGAAAGAGCTAAAAGGAAAAAAGGCTAAAAAAAGCTAAAAAAGGCTAAAAAAAGAGCTAAAAGGCTAAAAAAAAGAGCTAAAAAGGAAAAGCTAAAAGGAAAGCTAAAAAAGGAAAGAGCAAAAAAAAGGAAAGAGCTAAAAAAGGAAAAAAAGGAAAAGAGCTAAAAGAGCTAAAAGGAAAGAGCTAAAAAAGGAAAGAGCTAAAAAAAAAGGCTAAAAGGAAAGAGCTAAAAAGGCTAAAAAGAGCTAAAGGAAAAGAGCTAAAAGGAAAAAAAAGGAAAGAGCTAAAAAGGAAAGAGCTAAAAAAGGAAAGAGCTAAAAAAAAAGAGCTAAAAAAGAGCTAAAAAAAAAGGAAAGAGCTAAAAAGGAAAGAGCTAAAAGCTAAAAAGGAAAGAGCTAAAAGGAAAAGCTAAAAGGAAAGAGCTAAAAAGGAAAGAGCTAAAAAGGAAAGAGCTAAAAAGGAAAGAGCTAAAAAGGAAAGAGCTAAAAAGGAAAGAGCTAAAAAGGAAAGAGCTAAAAAGGAAAGAGCTAAAAAGGAAAGAGCTAAAAAGGAAAGAGCTAAAAAGGAAAGAGGAAAAGCTAAAAAAGGAAAGAGCTAAAAAAAGGCTAAAAAGGAAAGAGCTAAAAAAGAGCTAAAAAAAAAGAGCTAAAAAAAAGCTAAAAAGGAAAGAGCTAAAAAGGAAAGAGCTAAAAGGAAAAGCTAAAAAGGAAAGAGCTAAAAAGGAAAGAGCTAAAAAGGAAAGAGCTAAAAAGGAAAGAGCTAAAAAGGAAAGAGCTAAAAAGACAAGGCTTTTTCAAAGAATTACTTCTGGTTTCCTTTTTGTCTCATTTAATCATTATAATTCAATGTTATTTGTACAAGAATAATACTGGATTGTTGAGTCAATGAATTGTTTTTTTTTTGTTTTTGTTTTTTTTTTACAGCTTATCAACCCTTTTTGTGCTATTTAAAGCCAAAAAATATTACAGATTATAGTAGGTTGCTTACAGTATCCTGTGTTCCTAATTGATTTGCACATTGTTTAACTTTGGTGGCCAAACAAGAAATGGTGTTTTCAGCCAGGTTTGGCTGTAAACATAAAAGCACCGGTGTTAAGATGGAAAGCAACAACACCTTTCTCCTGGAATGCTGCTTACTTAACAAACAAACAAGTTGTAGCTATGAAAATCTGGATTATATAATAATTGGGTATTGACCAAGGAGCCCTTCTAACAGGGGGAAAGAAATTATTTTTGGTTATTTGGTCAGATCTGGGATCAGGCCAAGAACTTTTCAGCAGCCTTTAATGCATGTTTGATGGAGGTGGGAGGGGGGTTAATGACATAGAAATGGACAGTGTTTACTTCCGTTCTAGATTTTGACATATTAATCCCTTTGTCAATTAAATCATCTCTAGAAAAGGATAATCATTTTGTAGGATTAACCCATAAAAACCACTTAAAGTATTTGCCTCAAACTATAAAGGCAAAGAAGAGTCAGGAGGTGGAGGAGAGGCGGGGATAAATGACCCATAGCCATTGCACTTTATTGATACTTACTTTCAAAGATGCTTTCAAATGATAAACTGATTGCTACTTTGTCAGGACCAACATTCTCTATTCAGATTTTAAGTTCTTGTTTTAATGAGATAAAATGTGAATAAAATAGTTTTGTCATTTGAACAAAACAGCAATTAGCAGGTGTTATTAATGCATAAAATAACCCGATCCCTCCTCAAGAGGTGGTAAAATGTAGGGTTTAAAAGTCTGAAATGCTGACTAATTCAATAGAGTAGGGACCTGATTAACATCAGAGAAATCTAATTCTAACTTTCCAAAACTCAAAAGAATAGAAAGGGGTGGTGGTGGTGGTGAGGAAATATAGCCAGAAACATCTACTTTAATAGAATGATAGAATTTAAAAGAGGAAAAGTTTTAGTTTGTGACAGAGATAAGTAAACAGTTAATAATGATTTTTTTTAAACGTATTCTTACCCCCTCCCCTCCATATTTTAATGAATTCATTCTCAAGTCTTCTACAGATATTTTCCTAAGTCCCCTTCAATGATGGCTAATTATAGACTTGACACTGGTCAGGAGATCTTTACTGCAGCATTTACAATTAGGCTTTGTTTTTTTGGGGGTTTTTTTTTCCAGCAATATATATGGTTGGGAGGTGGTATTACTGCAACATATATAGTTAAGAGACCTTTACTGCAACATATGTTATAGAGGTCAGTCTTTACAGCAACATATACAGTTGTGGGAGGCTTTACTGCAGCCCATACGTTTATGTGGTGAGGGGGTCTTTAGTATATACGTTTAAATGGTGGAGGGGCTTTACTACAGCATATTCGGTGGGGAGACAATGTACTGACTTATGATTATATTCTTCAACTCTCAAGCAAACAGTATGAATTGATAATAAAAACAAAACCTAAGATTAATGAAAACATGTCTTTGTACATAAATATATTCTAATGTGTAGAAAATTAGATAATAAAAAATGTAGTTACGATTGAATTTTGTTTGCTGATTGCTTTAGCTTAATCAATAAGGCAATCACTCGTCAAACAGGCTCTCAAGGGTACAGGATAGAAGTTTAAATTTCAACAAATGCTCCTTCATGCAGCTTACTTGACAATTGTAAAATGTAAAAGTATGAGTAGCCCGTTCTTCAAGACATAACCTAAAGTCAAAAGTAGCAAAATTCAAAAGTTAATATTGCCAAGCTAGCAACACTCTGCTAATAAATATATACAAAATTTAACTTATTGTAATGCTTTTTCATATTCCATCTACTTTGGCTACTGTGAGCCACAAATAACAAATAATGTATTTAGGGAATAAAAGAATAGGTCATTGTTAATAAAACCATCAACAAAAAGCTATTACCTGTAAAGTACTACCATGGCAGTTTTGTTGTGACAAAGCCAACCTAATATTTTCAATGCTTGGTTTGGTTTATTTTGTTTTACGGCTTATCAACTACAATGAGTTAATGCTGACAAAATTTTTAGGATAGGTTTGTATTAATAGAATATATATTCTTTATAAGAAATCGGTTTGTAGATCAGGTTTCATTGATGTATTTTTGTAAAAAGTGTTTTTGTCAAGAGTCAAATGTATTGATGGTACTATTTATTTTTTCAAAAATGACTGGTATTTTTACTATGAAAACCTATTTTTCATA